AGACATCTACAGCTTTTGGAAGAAGAGAACAAAGAACGTGCTAAAAGAGAAATGGTCATGTATTCAATTACTGTAGCATTCTGGCTGCTTAATAGCTGGCTCTGGTTTCGCCACTAGAGGTAACCTAAGCTCTCAAAAATATTTGTCTGAACAGCTAGAAATACAAAGAATTTGCAAACTTAAAAAAAAAAAAGAAAAAAGCTGAACATTCCATATGATCCAGCTATTCCATTGCTTGGAATATACCCTGAGAAAATGAGAAATGAGACTCAAATGGAGACTTGTACACCAATGTTCATAGCAGCATTATTCACCATCACAAGAACATGGAAACAACCCAGATGTCCAACCAAAAATGAATGGATTGAGAAGTCATGGTGCAGTCATACAATGGAATACTGCAGAGCACACAAAAGCAATGATTTTGTAAATTACTATCTAACTTGGGAGGGACTAGAGAGCATTATGCTGAGTGAACCAACTCAGTCCCACAAGGACTGAATAAAATCATTATTGTAGAATGAATATGAGGATCCAAGGGGCAGGGAGGGTGGAAGCAGAGGGGTGAGGATGGTGGGTGTTAAACATACGTTGCACAATTCGACGGCGGTGTGTGTAAAGGAAATGGGAAGGATCTTGTGATAAAAACAATGTATTCAAACTTTGTAAATAAATCAATATATATATATATATAGGCATTGGCCATGAATAAATCACTGCATGTATGAAATTAATGAGAGAGAGAGAGATATGCTCTGTCAGAAGAAAACACAGACCATTTTGTTCAACTTTCAGCAGCACATGTTAAGCAATTAGGCTAAAAATAACAGCCTTCTTAACAAATCATACTAAACTGGATCACTACATAGATCTGGCTCCCCTCAGGTCTTTGCTATTACTTGCTATGCACCAGAAAGATGGATAATGGTTAAGGATGCTAGAAGGAGAATTGATGCCTTTGAGCTGTGGTGCTGGAGAAGAGTGTTGAATATACCAAGGACTGCTAGGAAAACAAATAGGTTCATCCTGGAGAGGGTTAAACCAGGATGCTCCTTGGAGCCAAGGATTCTGAAGCTTCACCTGACATACTTTGGACATGTTGCAAGTAGGGACCAGTACTTGGAGAGGATGTCATGCTTGGGAGGGCGGAGGGACAGCGTAAGAGTGGAAGACCCTGGATGAGATGGATTGACTCAGTGACTGGGGTAATGGGGGTAGGTGTGTCAGGGACAATGAGATTGACTCAAGATAGAGCTGGGTTTAGGGCTGTTGTACATAGGGTCACTATGAGTCACAAGTGGCTCAACGGCATATTACAGCATTACTATATGTCATGTGTTCTGGTCCCCCAGTTTCTGTTTTTAGCTATCACATAGATCACTTCAGCATCAATGGGTGAGTAAATCATGTGATGATAATCATAGTCTTTGTACTAAAGGGATGCAATAGCCATGTTAAAAAAAAAAAAAACCAAACCACCAAGCCAAACAAACGTTCTTCAAGAAGTTCAACATTAGAACAAAATAGACCAGGAATGGAAGAGCTTGTAATGATATCACAGCTGTGTGTTGAGGTTGTTGGAAACCACACAAAATGTATGTTTATCAACAGGTTTTAGTTTAAATACATTCGGAGCAGAGGTTTTAGTTGTCCTTTACATTTTGTGTTTAGCTTTTCCCATGGAGTCAGTCTCAAACATTTCTCTGCCTAGAGACTTGTAAACTAACACACTAGATTTATAGCCTCAAAATGAACATGTACCACATGCCAAATGGAAATGTTCCTTTGAAATGTGGGTCCTGAAGAACATTGCTTTTTAGGAATACAACAAATATTCCTATTGTATGCACTCAGGCCCTGTGGCTATACAAAACTGTGGTTCCCTTCCTTAAAAGTTACATTGTCTTGGAGAGCTGACACACACATACATTAAATCATTGGCTATGACCAGAAAAGGCAATCAGCCAGAAATGCCATAGTACAGAGAGTTGAGAGGAGGTAGACCTCAGCCGCATGGCTACTTCTTACTTACTTGACTAGTAGAAGATGACTAACTATTGAGTAAACCTGATTTCATTTAATTTTAGCAATAACCCAATGAGAGACATTTTTCATTTCGTTTTTAATGTTGACAACAACTCAATGAGATAGGTATTATTGCTCTTAAGTTTACAGATAAGGGAACTGAGGGTCAAACTGAGGAGTGCATAGCTGCACTTGGAACATGATTCTGATTGGCTCAAAACATGCTTCATCCATCATCTCATGGGGCATATAGGAAAGATGTCATCAAGAGTGAATGGTTCATTCTAAAGGATTCACATAAGACAGGAAAGATTAAGCATGTACTTGTGGAATCCTTCAAGCAGCAAAAAGTAGAGAAAGATCAGATTCAAGCAAACGCTGTGACACCAAGGGGTGGCGATACAGGCAAAGTTTTTTGGTATAAATAGAACCAGGGTTCCAAGAGTATGGAAGATCCCTGGTACTGAACCAACGCGTCATGACTTAACTTATCCTGTTATGTTATTGATAATTAACTCCTAGTTAAGCCCTAGCAAGATTCTTCTGTATTAATAGGCTCTTTACCTCCTACAACCATGAAAATCAAACAATTCTATGAAGAATTTTCTCAACGTCTATGACAAAAGGTTGTTTAGGCTGGTAATTTGCAAAGTTATTTTTGGAACACATGGTGTGTTCCTTCAAATCATTGAATTTAACAAAAGGAGGAGTGTCTTCATTTTATTGATGAATTCTAGATTTCTGGGTCATTTCTTGGCTCCAGAGCATACCTTTGCTAGATGAAAGTATATGTATTACAATACAGAAAGTCAGACACTGTGTACCTACAAAATTTGATCCTAGAAAATTATTTAACTCAGACCAACTTATAGCTTATATAGAATGATTAGTACTTTCCCAGCAAAACAACTGTCTTTGCAGTAAGTATGGTAAAGAGGAGTTCTCTAATTGAAGCAATGGCCTGACAGATGATGAAGACAACAGAATAAGAGTGAAACCCCTTTCATTCCAAGGCTTACTTAATTTTAACTAAGTGCATTTCCTAGGACTAGAATCCCAGGAAAGGAGATTTTTTTTTCTTGCTGCTAAAAGGGCTGGTAATGTGTTTAAAAGTAAAGATGTCACCTTGAAGACTAAAGTGCACTTGCTCTAAACCA